GTGTTCTCGTTCGCTATGATAGAACCGTTATTTACCCAAAAATCTTGTTTTGGATTTCAACTGGGCAAGACGACTGTCTAAACTTCCTTAAGAGTTATTCCTCAGTCCAAACCTCAGTTTGGATCATAAACTGGTGGTCAGAGAATTTGAACGAAATGGCTCCAAATCGTTTGCAATGGCGTTCTTTCAAATTCTAATCTTCTGAATTCCTCATTACCTCGATCTTCCTCTCCTCAAATTCATTTCACTGGATTGTACCTCTCGAACGACATCTTCAATCCCTAATCTTTTTGATTACTGCTAATACTTCTACTACCTCTGTTACTATTGAATTTGAATTGGCAATTCAATCTCTATGTGCAGATGTGGTATGACAACCTAGACGGATGTACGCAGGTACCAAGTTCTACGTTTCAGCTAACTGATTCACTGTCATCATCATGGCAAAATCGGTACACGTACTTATTGTGAACATTAGTCAGTTAAATTTTTCGAATTGTAATGAAGATTTTTTTGACAGAAAGATTAGAATTTTCGCATATAAAATCTGCTTGTAATTATTTGAATGATGCAACTGACGTACAAAAATGAAGCGGGAATCGAAACTGAAAAAGTAGGTAATCGCGATTGACAAATAGACGGATAGATAAATGCTGGCGATAGAACACAACGCACACAACTGGTATGTATGCTTTGCACACAAATAACTGTGCTGAAGAATACATGAAATAAAATATTTGTTTAAATCAGATATTTTCTCATTTCTTAAAGTTTATCTTCTTAAATTAAGTTTATTTTTTTTCGTTTTGAAGTATACATATATGGATAAAAAATTATTAATAACAATAAGTGTTTTGTGCAATACAAAAGTTTCAGGTACAGTATAGAATTCTCAACAATAATTGTACATTATATTACGCAACAAATATCTCTATAGGACACATTTAAATTTCTTGTTATTCAAAAAAATGTTAAAAGAGGCTTGAGATAAAATATGTGCCCATGTATTTGTAATTCTTTATGGAGCGGAAATTTGGAGAACTACCAAAGCCATCATCCACAAGGTATAGGGGTTTATCAACGGTTGTCTACACAACATACTCTTAACCCGTTGGCTAGACACCATCGGCGATAACCTACTGTGAGAGAGAACTGTTATGCATGAACGTATACATATCATTTTGATATGCTTGGACTATTTCGAGTTTACCTTAGTCGGAAAACGACAGCGAAGATCGAGGATCCGGTGACACGACATGCTGCTCTAATCCGAGTGTATCAACCCCCATTGAATAAAAGAAGAAGACTTGATATGAAGTAGAACCTGTATTATCCGAGCATCCAGAAAGTACAAGGTTAGAGTCCAGAAGAGAACCGGGATCCGGGTCCCACAACGTTATAGATATTGCGTATTTATACATTTAGGTTGAATAGGAAACGGTATCGAAGTCTGTGAGATTGACAGTTAAGACGACCAATAGGAAACAACATTTGAAGTGACATCGAAGTTCAGACCGACCGATAAGAAACAACATTGGAGTACATGACATTGATATCTAGGACGATCATAAAATTGACCAGTAAAAATTAACCAATCAGAATTGACCAACAATTCTCTTAGGATATTGGATCAATATCCTAACAAGAACAAACCAGATTCCAGCAGAGAAGGAAATCATGAAGGAGCGCTGGAAGCGGATAGGACACACATTGCCGGAAGCACTCAACTGCCTCAGAAGACAAGCCCTCACTTGGAATCCTGAAGTCTGAAAGAAAAGAGGAAGGCCAACGAATGCATTACGTCGAGAGCTGTATACAGATATGAAAAGAATGAACGGTAATTGGGTAGCACTAAAAAGGAAGGCTCAGAACAGAGGCTGTTGTAGAATGCTGGTCGGCGGCCTATGCTTGACTGGACGAAACAGGCGTAAGTAAGTAATAAATTTGTAGTACATCTGTCTCTCAGTGTTCAATGCAAATGCAATATCTCAGAATTTTCCCATCTATTTAATAATAAGTGAATGCTACAGATAAGAGGAGAGTTTATACTCAGAACTTCACACCTCAAGCTCTAACTTTGTTTGTTTTTATTATGCGACAGGTTGCAATCCGCTACAGGTATGGATGTATTCACAGAGGGTGAATGTTGATTGCTTTAAATTATCGGGATCGAATCACTAGTGAAAATTACACCCTTATCATACACTACAGATCTACCAGATGAAATGGGAAAATGCTCAAAAATGTTACACGTCTCACTTTTTTATTGAACATTGAAAAAGAAATGGTTACCCTCATATAAACTGTTCGAAACAGTTAGTTCTCTGTCATCTCAGCAGCTGCTATGACTGTTTTTACATCCATTATTTTAAAGACGGTAGTGTTTCTGTTGCGGTGTTCTAGTACTTAGAATCTCAATAAGTTGTACTTTCTCCATAACAGTCAGATAGACAGAGAGATACTACGCAGAACTTCATACGTAAGTACAACACTTCAAGTTGCCATACTGCATTATCACAGAGACTCAATTGTCAATTTAAAACCAATAGTGGTGGCGATAGTAGAAGTATTTGCAGTAATGGAGAAGATTAGGGTTTGAAGATAAGATTCGATAAGCATAATTCAGTGAGATAAATTTAGGAAAAGAAAGATAGAGATTATGAAGAATTCAGGTTAGGATTTGAGAGAACACAAAGAGTGGATGCACTAGCATCATTCCAAACGATTTTGAGCCATGTCATTCAAGGTCTCTAACTATTGATGACCTTCGTCTAGCGGACCACAACCAGGCAGTGATGTGTGTGTATACAGGTAGTTAACTTCGATGACCATTCAACTTAAAAATATTTATGTCATCAGAATAATAATTGTAATATTTCTACAGACGGAAAAATAGATCCTAATTTTTGATTTAGCCGCGAAAGGAGACCATTTCTTTCGTTGTATAGAATCTCAAAATGAAATGATTTTTCATTTGTTTCATACAGTTACGTTTTATGTTACAAAGAAACATAAGAATGATTGTAATTATTTTATCTACGGTGAAATATGAAAATGACAGGTTTTATTCTCTAATGGAATTGTAAATTCCCGAATTGAGTTTCATTGCTATCAAAGAAACGAGCAATGTTAGACCACTGTTGGAAACATTGAAGCTTTGAATGGCCATTCTTGTTCTCATCTGTACATTGTCAGCAGTGTGTGCATTCAAGACTCTTCTGTCAGTGGGAATCAAAGATTCGGACATTCGTTCTCACTTGCGAACGCTTAGCTTGTTAACCAGTGAGTTTTAGCATCCTAGAGAGTTATTGTATAATTTCAATTAATCCACAATAATATTGCGTGACCATTATTTATTGTATTTGGTGGGAAAGTAATACAATGTAAACATTCTGTTTATTCAGATCACTGCACTTTATCAATAAATCATATAGATGGGATATAGACAAAAACGGAAGAAAAGAGATATTTGAATGCTTCACAATGGTTTTAGGAATAGACAAAAAATAATCAGACTCAAAACAACAATCAACAAAATACCTAAGTCATAATTCTAAATACAGATGTCAAGACAGTTCTACTGCATGGAGAAGTATTAAAGCAATCATCTACAAGGTACATATGTTTATCAACGGTTGTCTACACAAAATACTCCTTACTCGTTGGCCAGACACCATCGGCGACAACCTACTGTGGGAGAGAACAAACCAGAATCCAGTAGAGGAGCAAATCAAGAAGAAGTGCTGGAAGTGGATAGGATACATATTGCGGGAACCACTCAACTGAATCACAAGGTAAGCCCTCACACTCAGGACCCTCAAGGACAAAGGAAAATAGGAAGGTCAAGGAACAGATTACGTCCAGAAATGGAGACGAACATAATAAGAATGGACAAAAGTTGGACATAGCTGGAAATGGAAGCCCATGACAGAGTAGGTTAGAGAATACTGGTCGGCGGCCCAAGCTACTTATATATATATAAATATATATATATATATATATATATATATTTATATATATATATATATATATTCTTGGTTAACCAGGAGGCTTGCTGCACATGCACGCCACTGAGTTTTAAGCAGCACAAGGATTCTCACTGAGATCACCCCTGCCCCATATGGAAACGTACATGTCGTCTAGATTGGTCTGCAGACAAGTGGACGTCCGAAAAGCACGCGCACGAACAGTAGCCCCCGTTTAGGCACTTATGAGTCAACAAGATCCTTCCAACCAATCCAATACCCACAATCCCCAGTCGGCAAGGGCGGCAAGGTGGGCTTACCCAGCTAGACCTGGTGCCCCGAAACGGATTACCGAGCCATCCAGCAGTGCACTAACCAGCAGCCATTTCAACCGTCTGGCCTCTAACTGCCTTGTGCTGATACAATCGACCGGAGCCCTCAGACCCCAAATGAAGCTAAAGATCGAGTTTGCCCCACAAGGTCAGCCGGAACGTACACCCTCCCATATATATATATATGGGAATAATCCAAAAATTTTAGTGGGAAACTGTAACTGATAGGAGTTTCAGACAATGAGATGAACTTCTCCAACAACATTGTTGATAATCCTAAAGCTATATCATAAAAAAATTAGTTGAGGTTAGAATTATTCTATTCAACACCAACTTAGTGATTCTTTTTTAATGGCTAAGCATTTAACACATACAAACACCTAAATAAGATCACGTGTTCCATCCAGTGTCAATCTTACATTTCATTAGTATCCCACCGTACCCCTAATGGAATTCAATCGATAATTCATTCATGTTTGTCAAAACAGAAATTTGTATTTTTATCAACTCGCTAAAATCATAAAAATTATACTGTAACATCAAAAAACTATTTCTAAAGTTAATAATTTTAACAACAATACATTAAAAATAGTTTTTTCATACTAAATATAGTTCAATATATATGTACAAACAAAAAGTAGTAGTGGTAGTTTAAAAAAAGCGAACAATAACAAAACATGAACATTGAATTCCCATTTTTTTTTCATTGAGGTGATGGACATGTTGTTGGTGTTGTAGTTTGATTGAATCGATGAAAATCCGATGTAGAGTCATTAATACACTTTTGTATCGCTTCATCATCATCATCGTCATCAGCAGCAGCAGCATCATCATCAGTGACCTTGACATCAAACTGTTGATTCGTTGAATAATTCTCACCTGATTTATGATGAGGATGACCATTTGGTTGTTTCATTAATTTTTGATAAAGTTTCCTTGTTAATTGTTTCGAATTATTATTATTGATCATTGAATTGTTATGAGTTATCGTTCGGCCGCGTTTTTTGTCTTGTTCTTCTCCACCACTTTTATCATCATCATCATCATATTTATGAACATTTTCATTGTCATTATCTGTAGCTGATTTGTTGGAATCAGTTGTCTCATGAAATTCATCGGTTTGTTCTTGATTATAATAAGATTTATTATTATTATTGTGGTTAGATTTCATTTTTGAATGATTCATTTTCTCGAATAATATCGATAGTACACGTTCTTTTTGTTCCCATGTTAAATCACGAATTGTTAAACGAGTTGATTTTGGACTAAATTGAATTCATATTAACAATAATGAAAAAATAATAATAAATGATTGTTTTAAATATGAAAAAAAGGATAATTTAGTCTAATTATTGTGATCATTATCGACTGAAACCACCGGATCCGTTGGCCAGACAGTATTAGAAACAATCTGTGGTGTGAGCTACTTATAAGTAGTATATGACATGAGTGTCAACGTAATGTCTGGCAGCGGAAGATGGGGAAAGATCAAGAAAGGAAGAGTTAGAAAACAATGTAATTTGTATGAAACACATGAATAGTGACAATGGATTGATGTTTGGCAACAGGAACAGTCCAGTTCGATATGATGAACTGATATTTTGCAAATGAACAATTTACGATATGGTGTTCCGATTTTACTGAGTAACTCTGTAAATTTCGTTAAATACAATCGGGTTGCCCCACCTGCGTTCTCCTTCACTACAAATCTACTATGGAAGAGAACAAACCAGATTCCAGTGGAGTAGGAAATCAAGAAGAAGCGTCGAAAGTGGAAAGGACATACACTCAACTTCGCCACAAGACCAGCCCTTACTTGAGGTCCTCATGGCCAAAGGTAAAGACTAAGGTCAAAGAATATATTGCTCCGAAAAATGGAGAAACACATGAGAAGAATGAACAACAGTTGAACAGAACTAGAAAGAAAAGCCGAGGACAGCGTAGGTTAGAGAATGCTGGTAACCAGCCTACGCTCCATTTTGGGATAACAAGCGAAAGTAAGCAGGTAATTGAATCGGAAACCTGAGGTGATTTAATGGAATGAGAATTATATTTATTGATTAGCCCACGCAACAAAATTATTATCAAGAAACTTGATACGCAGTTTTCTACCTCATTGATTATGATCGTCGGTTTTGATTGTTCCAGGTTTGTCTTATATATATATATATATATATATATATATATATATATATATATATATAGGTTGCAAAAACTGATCAACTACTTTCCATTTCTTTGACCGTTATAAAGTTTTTATATGAAATGGCAAACGAATTTCACAGATGTTATATTTGTCTGGGTGAAAATATAATAGACTGTCAATTGAAACACCATATAATGCTGATTACAAATGTATCATTAGTAATGAGTGCTAATAAAGTAGAGCTGAATTTTAATTGCAAAATTACTATATTGATCAGATCAATGAGAACAATTCAAGTGTTTTCGTTTGTATATTCGTCAAACTGAAACCTATTTACATCCCTTTTGGAGGTACCCGCTACAAGATAGATTCCGACTGAATTATTGAGTTACTCATTTTAAAGGTCGAGTATCCTTACTGTAAAGAAAAGAAATGGCATTTTAGTGTGTATACCATTCCAACATATGCTAATCGTTACCTGCTTTAATATGAAAACCAGTTCAATACATGTACTACTACAACCAACAGAGATTCCATTAGCGTTATTTCGAAATAAAGTAAATTCATCGTATCACAATCTTGATGACTTGTCTGTTAAGATGATTTTCTGAATGATAATAAGTCATAACTTCATTAGATTAGCTGTAAAATATCTTAGTGTCATTACATGATCTGAAGTGGAATCACTTGATAAGTACACTTATTAGCCAACCAGTATCAGCGAGAAATAGAACCGAATGTTAAGCAGAATTTTTCATTTGATCAACTATACAACACCTAACATTTAATTTACGATTCTCTTAAAGCCATTTAGTCAATTAGATGAATTGAATATTTTGATAGATAAACTTTTCTCAGTAAATAAAATGTGCTCATGACGAGGATGTGTTCGGCAACGTTGAGACGATATCGTACAAATCCCCAGAAATAAACTTCATACACGTTGCACAAGTTGGTACTTGTCTGGACTCAATAGGTTAACGGATATTCTGTTGAGTTTTCAAATGATGACTACTTAGCTCAAATTTCAATGCGTCCAATAACACAAGAATTTCAGTCAGTCTGTCTGTTACAACGCCTACATCAGTTCAAGTTGCCATACCACATTAGCACTGAGATGCAATTGTCACTTCAAATCCGATGGTGCGAACGATTTTGAGCCGTGTCATTCAAGATCTTTAACCATCGATTACTGTTATCTCGCAGACCCCAACCAGGTAGTCGACACCTGCCAACATGACTCAGTTCACTTGTCAGTGACTTCATGCATTTCTACCATGTTTTAGTCTGGCCGACCATAGCTTTGTCCCAACCTATTCCTACAGCGCAAAGCAAAGCTCGACTAGTTGGTCGGTGGTTAGGCATGCGCAACCACATGTCCTAACCACCTCAACTGATGGGGTGTGTGATCTGCCAACCTTACCTAGAACTCGTTTCCTAACGACAGCATTGCTTACTCGATTGTCCCACGATACACGATCAATGCTTCAAAGACACCTATGATCGAAAACCAGTAACCTACGAATATCTACTCTGACTGGCCATGTTTCACATCCATATAGTAGGATGGAGCCAAATACTGTTCAGTACATTCGACCATTGGTTAGCAAACGGATATCTCGCCAACGCGATAAGTGATGCAAGTTGTCCAAAGCCAGTCGAGCCTTTTGTATCCGTGCAGAGATTTCGTCACAAACCGATCCATCAGCACTGATGAGACTCCCCAAATAAGTGAAGCGGTCAGCATGCTCAGATGCTTCATTCGCTTTCACTAATTGAGATGCCGATGCGAGCCAATCCCGAAGCAACATTTTGCATTTCGACGACGAGAACTGCATCCTGAACATGCTTCCATTGTTGCTTAGAGTAGTCAGAACACTCTGAATTTTGTCAGCATCTTCAATGAATAGAACATGTCACGGGCATATTCTAAGTCAATAAGCTAGCCTCCTAGTAAAAGGTGTACTCCTGAAAATTTAGACGAAGATAATGTTATACCTAGCAGTATGTTTATGACAAAATTGAACAAGAATGGGGAGAATTGACAGCCCTGACGGACACCACTTGAATTGGCTAATTTCAATTACAGTTTGCCATATGCTCTAACTCGACCTGTAGTGTTCGAGTAGAGAGTTTTATAAGGTTAATGTACTTCTCTGGTACACCTTTTAAAGATAAACATCCAGATAAAGGGTGATGAATAAGGAGACTGATAAACTTTCCAAATTTCACTGATAGACACTATTCACCTTCAAATTAAAAACTATATCAATTAACTTTATTCACTCATAATAGTTTTGGGACACAGTTTTGGAGGTGAGGTCGCTCAAAATCCCTTGATCAATCATAATAGTTGAATACAATAAATTTTAACAACAACGAAAACAACAAATCACTTACATTTGTTGTGCAATTTTAAAATCATCATAAACATTATTTGTACTGGTTGTTTTATTTTGAAATGTTCTAATTGGCGGATAATTTGTACGACCACAATGCGCTAAACGAATACTAGCTTCATAAGCAGATTTTGCATCATGAATATAATTATTTCTGAATAAGATTTAAAAAAAATATGTAAAATTTAAAACAAAAACAATAAAAAAACAAGTAGACAAATAAATAGTTAAGTAAAAATTAATTTTCAGCCAACTTTCTTACCATATTAAAATGATTTGAACAATGTTTTTTTATTATCTTATTCGAATGTGTGAAACTCATCACCATTGAATACTTATCGTTTTTTGTTGAGAATTGAATATTGAACACTGAAGAATCAGTAGAGGAGAATAACTTCGAAAAATATTTCTGGGAAGCTATAAACAGTTTCGTCAAGAATTGAACATGGAACACTGAAGAATCAATAGAGGAGAATAACTTCGAAAAACATTTCTGGGAGGCTATAAACAGTTTCGTCAAGAATTGAACATTGAACACTGAAGAATCAGTAGAGGAGAATAACTTCGAAAAATATTTCTGGGAGGCTATAAACAGTTTCGTCAAGAATTGAACATGGAACACTGAAGAATCAGTAGAGGAGAAAGTATTTCTGAGAAGCTATAGACAGTGAAAAACAACAATCTAGTCCATGGCACAGCTACCATTCTATATCGTAGATTGACTGGATTTAGAAATATGGGTCAGTGAATGTATTGATTCAATAGGTTAAAGGTAACTTATTCATCACAAAAGTCAAAGGTTCTCTCTCAACTTAGTAATTGAATATCACAGTGAGTCTGTAATTCTGAGAAGCCCTACACCAGAACAGAGTAGATGTTCGATTCTCACTAGCTTCCAATGATTTGTTAGTTTAAGTCAATCTAGGATATGATATAAAAACCGAACGAAATACTAAACATTTCCACTATGTCAAAATGCAATTCGAAAAAGAATATTCACATGAATTTCTTAAGGAAGATTCACAATGATTTTCGGTAAACATCCACAATGAATAAATGAAGCATGCAACAGTGTTAAATCGCTTATTCTAGCAATGATAACTACAATAAACAGTCAGGATTGTAGACTAGAAAATACCACAACAGTTTATTACAAACAATTAAATAGTGTAGTGTTTGTTATAAATGTTGCATACAATGTGTAAAATACAATGACACTGTGGTAGTGTACGCGATGTTGTTGTTATTATTAAAGTGATGTGACTGCTGATACTAGAAACAAGTGACCATGTGAGTGGGAAGGAAAATAAACATTGATAATTATAAGAGAGAGAGAGAGAAATAAAGAACAAAGCAAGCAAGCAAGTAAGTAAGTTAGTTAACAAATACACAAATATATATATGAGTGGTTAAACAAACTTTTTTTATCCATAATAATCAATGATCTCCTGAAAAAAAATTGAAAGATTATAAAATTGATAATTGAAATTACTTATTCTTTGAAAAAAATAAAATAAACAGTTAGATATTTGCATAGTTTATATCGGTACTCTTAGAAAAACATGGAAGCATCCGGTGGCCATTTCATCTTAGGAGTGAACCTTCACGACCTCGCCAGAAGGAGTCAAACCAAGGACCTTCTGTCGCATGAGCGAGCATAAACCAAACCTTAGACCAGACCACTAAATCATCATCCAATGGTGTCGACGTCTAACTGCAATTGATTCACAATATTTTCGAACCCTTTTAATCCATAACGTACAGTGGTGGATAACCGCCACACATCTGTCGACATGGATAAACCTCCCTTGGTCACGAGTTCTTACAAGGACCCCAGGAGTTGTATCTTAAAGTTAGTCACTAGTGGTGATGGTCGAGTAGTTGAACTATTTTATAGATACCTTTCATTTTAGTGATAATATGAATCTCTCACTAACTAGTCAAGATTACTTTTGATGGATTGGACAAACTACATCATTAAATTCACTCAACACTTTTGATATTCAAATCAAACAATTAACAGGATATTATAGAAATAAATAATCAGATGAATTTTTTCCAAACTGTTCCATTTGAGGTGAGTAATTTTTTAGGAATTTGTAACATCTGACGATAATAATGATGATGCCTTATCCATAAAACCTCTGTGATAAGCGAGAACGTTAAGACCAAATGAAATGAGGATACACAGTTTGCTAGCAAAATGTGTACACCTTGTCTACAGACTTCAATCCTCAAAACAAGCGGATTATTAGCTCCCTTTCTTCACATGTCTTCTAGGTCATCAAAACACTTCGATCGCACTATGCATCCGGATCCGGTAGCCCTCACTTCAGCAGTAACTTCTGAACGATACTACTTACAAGTCATATTGTGAGTAGTATCCACCACACCATAACCTCGTACTACTGCAAGTTTAGTGAGCTCACTTAGAAATATGAACAAATTATCTGTAACCTGTAGTTCATAAAAATGTCGTTGACTGCATTGTCTAATTTATATGAGATTTATGCATGACAGTTTAAACTATCCAAGTAATAACACTACAACCTAAATGACACCACTTAATCCTGCAGTAGAACCACCACACAGGTACGTGAAACTCTAGTGGACCATCTTTTTTGTACACACAACTGAATTGTCGTTAAATCAGAGATATGTTGGAAAAATATTTGGTGTATACATTATATACACTCCTAGATTTTGATATATCTGTTGTCATACTTACTCTATATGTGGAAAAATCTATCCTTTCGTTATAAAAAGAAATGAGAATTCTGACCGACACTCAAGGCGAAGCTTCATTCAATGAATATTTGAAAATTCTTATCACAGATGACCAATTTGTCACTTAAATATCGTTTATTAACCAAAAAACAATAGATTATGATGTGTTCAATGTTAAATAAGTCATAAAGAGTTTTCAAGAGAAAAATCAATTGGAAATATACCAAAATCCCGTTGTTTTTTTCTTAAAGGAGAACAATAGAAAGATGGCGAAAATAGTTTGAGAAACTTTGAAAAATTTATTATCTTTGGAAAGCGTAAAATAGTGTTTAAAAGCATGACTAATCAAAAACTGATTCTACATTCAACCATGATAAGTCATCAAATTTAAAATAAACACTTTATTGAAGATTTAAATCAATGAATGAGATCCTTTGTTTAATTCACAAATATGCTTCAGTTTAAAATGTCATATTTTACATTATGGGAGTGTAAGTTAAGGATATGAGGGTAGTGATCAAGAAATGATCATATATAAATCGGGATAACAGACTAAACATTGGAAGGATATTGCAAGAAAGATAAATGAAACTGTTTAATAAACAGTGAAGAATAATATTCGGAGATTAGGTGTCATTAAGTTTATTATTTAGAATCTCAAATTGTTGATTACAACGTTCGTTCTGACCTTAATCATAAAGTTTGCACTTTCGAATGTTTTGCAAACAGTACGTCATAGACTTACATAACCTAACTTTTCTTCAGTATGTAATGCCAGTCAATCTAGCATAACTAGATTGGAAGACACAACTTTCACTAAAAAGTATATATTTACAATTGAGCAATGACGTGTAATTCAAGTTGTTCTTTAGTACTGATCGAATTCTATCGACCAAATTACAATATAGCCAATAGTTCAAGTAACTTGACGCCGCGTACATTATATTGAGATATAAGATAGTGTCGTGTCTAGAGATAGTCAGTAAGGAATCTTAGATCTACGTTCGTGGCATATGGCGCTCGTCAGCAGGGTGTATCTGTAATCTGGATGAAACTGTTTAGTCACAAAAACATTGGTCACTACTCAGTGGTTCATCAGTTAAGATGCCAACAGCTCTGTTTTATTGTTTCTAACTATGTAGTTAGTGTATGCAAAATTGAATATGCCAGGAAGACTTAGTTCTCCCAAAATTACATGTACATTTGGTTGATGACTACTAAATAACACTAAACCGAAGTTGAGGTTTTCCTATTGACCACCTTCAATCATTACAATAAAAAGTAAACATGTTACAGTTAGTCTTTTGCACGTAATTAAATCTCCTTACTTTAAACATATTTGGAAGAGTAAATATTCTAACAGGAGTTATGTATTTGTATACCCCAAATATATTCACATACTATTATGAATGAAGTTTTATTGAGATCAGCAACTTCAAACCACCGCTAAAAACCTGAAAGCACCGGATGTCCAGTTGTTGCTAGTATGGGACACCTCAGTAATTCGTATCCACGACCCCGTCGGCAGGAACCAAACGTGTGAACTCGCGCATGACTGACGGTCCTGGATTTGACTCCCGCTGACGGGGCCGTAGATATGCAATGCTGAGGAGTTTCACGCTAGGAAAAGCCGGCTATGCAGTGTCTCCAGGTTTCTAATGGTGGTCTAATATTGATCAATTTATGATTTCAACGAAGCTCAGCAATCTCCACAACCTTGTATTGATAAAATATAGTCGTTATCGTACTTTCTTTCTCGCTTATCCTTCGGAAAAAGTAAGCGAAGAATTAGCTTAAACTCGTGAATCTGATATATGACAGGTAAAAACCCTAGTTATATCAGCTGAACTGACAGAGATTTTTTGCAATATTATTCAATCGCTGTTAAAATTCCTAACTTTGACAAAGTTTATAACTTCATTGAAATCATGAACCAATCAATAAAAATGAACAATTTCCACAACCCTCACACTAAAAATTTATAGCACCGAATAAAGTAATTATTATTAGATGTGACTAGTACAGCTCAACTCTGTTGGATTTAGACAGTAACTACAGAAGGTGAGGTTGAGCAAAAATCCTTAGATTGATCAGAATTAAACATTAACATCGTCGTATGCCAACTCAGTGGTCCAGAGGTTAGGCGTTCGCGCACAAGACCAAAGGTTCCAGCTTCGAATCTTGTGAGTAGTAGGAGTCCCATATCAGGTCAAAACGGCCATCCAATGCTACCAGGTTTCTTTCTATTGGCGGTCTAACAGTGATCGATTCACGATTTCGCTAACAAACAACAATCTCTATTATGAAAAATATTACAATTGTATCTGTAAATCTAATCACATTTTATGCTTAAGATGATAGTTAATAAGTTAGAAATAAATTTCTAAAAATAAATCACTCTAAACTTAAATGTCCATACGAAGTTTAAAGATTTTCTTTTTGAAAAGATAAAAAACACGTAACTTACTGACTAACTTTGATCTCGTCACGAACATAATTTAAAGATGTAATAAAAAACTCTTCAATTTCACTTCTTTGTTTTAAAATTCTATTAGCTAAACCAGTAATACGCATCGTACGTTTACGTTCCAATTCTAACGTTCTAGTTAATTTTTCTACTGATGCTTCGGAATTTCGCACTGCCATCATTTTTTGTTCATTGAATAAGGCTTTTTGTTTATTTAAATCTTCAGTTAATTGTTCAATTTCATTTTGATAAAGTTCAATTTCTTCATCTTTCTGTTAGTTTTTTGAAGCGTAGGAAGTGTAGAGTTTAAAAAAAGGATTAAATATAAAGTTTCATGGTGAAAAGATATTTATTTTTATCTATCTAAGGGGAAGGAAACATTTACTTAAAAGAAATCTTAACTTAAAAATCACTAGGCAATTATAGCCTACATTTATCCAACATTTATCCAATGAATTCACGATGTAGCGTATAAGAAATGCCAAGGCGATGGAAACTTAATTTCTCATCTTTTCAATAATCAATAGTGATTTCATGCGATAAAACTAATTGTTTAATTAATTAAACATTTTAGGTGAACTGTTTGGTTAATAAATACATTAAAATCTTACTTGAAAACAGGCTATTTATGGGGTATTTTTTTATTTATAGCTTGCTTAATTACATTAAATTTAAATATAAGGTACCTTGCTTCATTGATTTGTTTTTGTGGTTAAATGTAGGCAGAATGTTAGGATATTTATCCAATATCCTAAGAGAATTATTAGTCAACTGCTATTGGTTAATTCCTACTGGTCAATTTTATGGTCATCCTAGATATCTTCTGGATTCGGACCTCGTACTTTCTGGATGCTTGTAGAATACAGGTTCTACTTCATATCATGTCTTCTTATTTTTACTCAATATGGGGAGTCGGATAATCGGATTTGAGTAGCATGTCGTGTCGCCGGATCCTCGATCCTTGCTCTCGTTTCCCGACTAGGTAAACTCGTAATAGTTCAAGCATATCAAGCTGACGTGTTTACATGCAGGCGTAACACAGAACTATGTCATTCAATGAAATCATCGGTCACTTAGTGTACTGATTACACTAAACTTTGATTGGTAGAGTCTGATTAGCACTATTCGCTAGAGAATGATATTAAGTTGGTTAATACTGATCGATAAATTAGTGTAAAACTTTTGACTCTGTAGGTCAACATTACAGACCAAATAATTTAATGAAGAAATATATAGAGGCAGCATTATTTGGTATTGAATTGAACATCACTGAAGAGTACTGATTCCCTTTAAATCGTATGATGAAGAGGGTTAATCAACATAGAGCTCAAGTCTATGAGTAGAAGGCAATTAATTACCTGGCAAAAAATGCTTCAGTGTATATTTACATGCTTTTTATGAGTGAAAACGAACCGAAAAGTCATAATGAATACTTTTGTAGACGGAAAAATTACTTCACACTAATAACTCTAACTTTCATTTCCTCATTTGTATTCATTTTGAAGGTAAGTAGTGACTTTCAGTAAATATTATATTACAATTTGAGAAACGTTGAACTTGTAATTTTAGACTGATCACAAATTATATTTTAGTTTTTAAGTAGACACTGGCCAGTTGAAATAATATGCTGGAAAGAGTTTGATCATTAGGTCTTTATTTGATACAATATCCAAAAGTTAATTTGATAGGTGAGTGTGGCTTTTTAAAGTACAAACATATGTATTATCTGTTAGAAGCCATCAGTTGCCAACTAGCTTAGTACCGGTGAATAAGATTGTATGAACGTATCTTTCTTTACTTCTTCCCTTAATTATCATTGTAAAATATATTCTACTCTATTTTTAATGTACCTTTGAAGTGAATATCAAGCTCTTAACCCCCTTATTGATAGAAAATATACAAATATCGACATTTGAGCAAGTACATTTACTTTAGTAACTACATTAAATAAGATGTTTATTTAAGTTGAAACTAATTTCTACATCTGTCTTTGATGAAGAAAGACCATACCATCGATTTTATAACTGCCCTTTAACGATTAAAAACAATGCATCTCATTTCATCATTTGTAAACTAAGTCTCATTTAAGAATGTCTTACAAGTGTTTCCACAAGATTTTTGAAAGTATAACCATGACTTGAGAAATAGTCTACGAGAACAAACCTATTAATAGAACAGATATACAAATTATGTGTTTCAAACACTTATTAATTCTGAATAGAAATACTCGCCTCTTGAATTTTTTCCCTCAGCTTCTTGCACTCCAGAGATTTTGTCAACAAAATGCCTTCCAAATTTTCTTTTTCTAAAGTGAGCTTTTTGTTTTCTTCGTTCAAACATTTTGATAAGTCCTCAGCTGACATCAATTGCCTTCTTAGAAACGTTATAAATCTCCTCATTGCAACGTTCTGAACAAACGATAGCTTGACAGAATCATCTAAGTTTCTTGTTAATAATTTAATGAGTTATTGTAAAGACAACTTTATAGAAATTTTGTGGGCTTCTTCTGCCAAAGCTTTGATTTCTTTTATGTTACTTTCCCTCATTTTTAGCTAAGCGTTTAAGATAAACTTGACTCCACTTACCTTCTCTTCGAAGAACTTTATCTCCATGTGCTCAATTAGGCGCTTTTGACTTTGAACTTCATCGTGTAACTAAATTACGTCAACATACGTGCTCGCTTTATCGAAGATTTATTGTTAATATACCTGTTTTATTTCATAGTCAGTTCGCATTCTTTCATTTTTGTATTCATCCAGCAGCAGTATTTCCCGCTCAAGCTCCTTAATTTTATCGCATTTCTTGTCGTTTTCATTACTTATGCATGATATTTGCTGCTCTGCATCTCTAATCTAAGTGTTAGGGGAAATCACTCAGAATATATAAGCAATGTACAATTAACTCCTTATCCTTTTCGTGTGACACGGACATGCATTCGATTTTATCTCTAAGTTCTTTCAGCTAAATATTAAGTTTTAATCAAATGTTATAATACTTCATTGTCTTTATCTTCATTCTGCTTTTTCAAGTAAGAAAACACGTTCATTGATTCCTTTTCTGACTGACGAAGAGCATCATTAAGTCGTGCATTATCATCCGCTAGCTGTTTCGCACGTTCCCTTATTTATTATTTCAAATAAACAGCTTACTGAATCTTATCTTTAACCTTTTCTGCAATCTCAACTCTAGTCTCCCAAATCTTGGCATTAGCTGCAGCTATTCTTCTTATATCTTCTAACTTCTTTATCTTATCATTGCCACTTAGAAATGATAAGCGATAAAGCTTTTAGAAAACCTGCTCTTTGAATTCTTCTTTTTTGAAGTTTTTTTATTGCTTTTTCTAACCATTTCGATTGTACGGTTGAGCGCGTTGCTATGTCACCGGTTGAATATTTATGAATTAAAACACGCCAAATAATTAGAAGTGCAATAAGTAAAAAGTGTCAAGCTAGCCCCTCTACTGTTAGAGTTGTCGATAAGACAATAAAGAACCTAAAATTTTTATTACGCTCGCCCGCAGATGTTTAAAATTTTCTTTCTTCCAAATTTGCACAAAACAGTTTCTATCAAATACCCTAACTTTTTTATTGAACCTGTAAATAAGTTCCCTAATTTCGTAAAAAGTGTCATGTTTTGCACGGTGATAGTTATTATATGAATTATATGAATAATTAAAGTTCTCATACCATTTTACTTAGGAATGATTGTTTATACGTATCTATATGACAGTCTGTCTAGCGAAGCATGTTCACAAAATTGGCGATGCAGTATTAACCTAACTTCACGAGGAAATTTAGGGTGTGGGTAACTACGTTTGTGAACGTTGTAGGATTACTGATTTTATGAACTTCCCACCGAAATAGAGTTCTTTTTAGTAATAGTATCGTCGAGACCTTAGATAGTGCGTCCAGTAAAACTAATCAGGCCTTGTGTCATTGTCCAACACCTATGGAATTGTTAATCGCGGGGGTTTATTTGCCACTATAGCTCACCCCCGCCTAGGTGGATAGTGATGACCTGAGAGGTGACTAGCCAGAAGCTCGAAGCCAACTTCCGGACGTTAGTTAACACTCTTCTGAGAGCAGTGTCCTGCTCTACGAATCTATTTGTATGCTGAAAAATTCAATTTTTCGTATTCGCCTTCTGCATTTTGTCCTCTTCTGTGGTCTTGTAAAAGAAAAAAGTGATAGTCTAAGTATATATTGAAATACACTCTTGATTACGTGACCGGGCGAAACGTGCATCAATAAAGACTGGTATTTATACCATGAGACAGTGATAAAGATGCCTCATAAAGGGTTTTTCTTGAGATTAAATACAGATAAGAACATCTCAGTAATACGCCAAACTGTTTTATTTCGATTGAATATATATCAGAACATGAAAAATTTTTCAGCATCCGATACTTTAGAAATCTGAAGTCTCAAGAAAGAGTTGTGGAACAAGGAAAATAAAACTAAGAATAGACGAACTTTTAAGATATCCTACACATGTTATTCGTTACGACACCCTGAAAATCTCCCGGATCTTCCAAGGTGTGCTGTTCTACGTTGCTTTTCGGCAACCAACGAAGTTTCTTTCTGGCCGTTACTGCTAGGATATCATATCATTTTCGTAGAGATCGTGAGCTGGAGAAGTCGACAGAGAAGGGGTTTTCTTCTAAGCAGGCGGCTTTCAACCTGTTTATGCTGATGTTGTTCCTACTTTCCCTCGTATCAATCGTATAGTTCTAAGATGCAAGAAAAAGCAATACATCAGTTGATTGAGTAGTAAAAGGCTTGAAAGTCTCTTCAGGTAGTAGTTTAGGCCTACACATGTTGAAGCAAATAAGACATCTACGAATTCATCTAGGAGTCGAAGTGCCGTGCTGTAATGTATCCAACATCGGCTGTGAATGCGGAATCGTTCTGCCGAATCATCAACTTGCGGATCGTAAACCGTCTTCCGGAATCGTGTGATTCCTAGAAGTACAGTAGGACTACAGAAGACTCCATATTCAAACTGGCGTCCACGATCTGTAGTAATAGCTGAAAGGCAACCAATATTTGCCGTTCTTCGTTTCATGAAGACATAGGTCATCGCCTCACCTGTAATATCATTGACAGGTATTGTGAAAGGATGTACACACATCAGGAGGCAAAAGTATTCATTTGAATCCCACAACGGTCCTTTCAAGTCAAAATGAACATATTTAAAGCGAGCGTTAAGAGTTGAGTAGGTACCCAAGGGACATTTGTTAAGCCCAAATGCCTAAGGTTTCTAGAAACTAAGAGAAGGCCTAGTTCATATCATGCTAGTGAAACTGTTCTACTATCAGGCTGATGGTTGTTCGAACCCCTGACTGAGAAAATTTGTGTAACATAATAAAGACATTGAGTAGATAAGTTTTCAGCACGTCCGAACGATCCCTACCCACAAACGTGTCAAAAACTACAGTTTCCTTACTCGTTCCCTACCGTTCATTCGTTGTCTCAGGGTTGTCGATGACAACTTGGACTGAAGTTCAGTGATCTCCTTTTGTAGCTAAGAGAACTTGATAAGTTCAATGTCGTGGAAACTGTTCACGAAAGTTAAACGAGACAATGAGTCTGCAACTATACTGTTCTCCCCAGAAATATTTTTTATATCAGAAATTAACTGCTGCATGTAGTCTGATGAAGATAATAATAATAATATATTTATTCTCAAATAACTACATTACAAGAGTCACGCCAGTTTACAGGCTACATCAAATTGTCACAAATGCTTTCACAATTACTGTAAAGTTATAGCAGTTAAATTAAGTATAAGAGTCATTTTCTGATTGCATAAACAAAAGGAAGCGTGAGATATCTATGGGCTGTGAAAAGGTTAAGTTCTCGGCCTGCCACAGAGCGTTGAAAGTGTCCTACAGAACAATGAGTAGATAAGAGTTCCTTGATTGAACTGCTATATCTCGATTCAATGTTCTGCAACCGTCTCATTGTCGTAAGAATCCTCTGATCATTTAGTCAGATGTGTCTGCCCTGACATTAATGGGTATTAAGGTGTTCAGATGTCTTTACAGAGTTTACTAAAGTGTGTATACTTTTATGTCGAGCCCACAGCGCTTGGCTCAGTCTTTGGACAATTTAACTAAAGTATTCTACTTCAGTTATTTAAGTCTTTTGACCTTGTCAATTACTGACATGTAACATTAGTTGTTTTCATTTAAGTGTGCATGTGCATCGCCGACTTCGCTTACTACACTTCTGGCTTATTTTATCTGATTATAAATACTTAGTCATACCTAATCACATGAAGTTTGCTGATGCACCTCTAATTCACTTCCCTTTACTAGAACGCTTTCAGTTCGCATGTCTATCTGTTTAAATGAATGCACGAAATAAGTTCAACTGAAAAACCGTATTTGGCTTCTTAATACCGCCATCTCACAGACCCTTTTCGCCTAAGTATGATATGTGAAAACCTTTAATTATTAGTACAAACGGAAGTCAGATCTCGGGCCACCAAAAAGGTCAGTACTGCTTCAGACTTAATCCAGCCATTAAATAACCTTGCAATAAGCTCTGGAACTGAGGAAAATGATCTCTACTTAGTGTGGTCAAGGCTAATGTTTTTCGTATTTTCGCTTCGATTAAGAGTCTCATAAGAGACGCGGAATTCGATACGAACCATCGATGAATGACTACTGGTGCATTAAATGTGCTTGACCGTGGTTGGATCTGGAATGACCACCACTTTTTTCGACGACAATTGTCTTGAGCGTCAATAATATATCCGAGATGTCAAGGGGGTTGGCTCAAGTAAAATTTTCCGTCCGCACTCGCTACTAGATAGCTATCAACATGAATCTGTAAAAATTCCAGACCTCTGAAAACAGCACCAATAAATCTGTGAAAATTATGAGTAGAATTTCCTAAACCGAAAAACATAAACAAAAATTCCTGTTGTACAAAGTAAGTGATGATGGCCTTTTAAGGAATGTCACAAGGAGTTCGTCACAGGATTTAACCAAGGCTGCATTTGAAAATACAGCTGTACCATAAAAGGTTGTTGCTAAGTCTTGAACGTGAGGCAACGAGTAACCATGTGGAAAGGCTTTTGTGTTCATTCGTCAGCAATTGTCGGTTGGACGCCAATCATTTTTGTCCTTTTCCCAGGATTATGAGCCACGTGGATGCACTTCGGTTGTTAGAAGGTCGGGCAATCCCTAAATCTATTATGGGAAATACCTGAGGTTGTGTGAGCAGTAGTGGCTTATCTCGGATGATTTTAAAAGTAAGTTCGTTGTTATCTGCAAAACTTTGAAGATGAGTCAGATACTCCTGAACAGCCAACTTATCATCTTGGTTATAAACGTCTCTCAAAAGTTTCACATCGTCAGAAAAAAGTAATAACTCAATTTATACCTACCCAAGTAAGATATTTATATAAGTTATCAAGTGAACAGCTCCTAATATTGAGCTGCAAAGGACCTCATTAAAACATTCTGTAGCCTCAGAAAAATCAAAGTTAACCCTTACACTAAAATATCAATTATTTAGGTATAATATAAATCGGTGACTTCAAACCACCATTTTTGTGGGCCAGAACACATTGTTTGCTTTTGACTCTTTAGATTGATGAGACGACTAAACAGTAACACTGAGGTTGCTCCTATACGATTGCTACTTCTGAGGTTCATGTTTCCGAAACTATGCTGAGATAGCTACTGTCGAGACACCCGCAACATTCTTACTCAGGCGCTTACTGTATGACTTACAGGTTGGCACTCAGTAATAATAATAAACAGTTAGACAGTGAGAACTTTTTACAAACTCTACTCTTTCGATCTCAACGTACATGAATCCAGCTTCTTACTTCGAATTCTCTTCTGTCCACCTGACACTGCACAACTCTTCCTTCTCTTTTGCTGTACTCCTTTATCTGTGGGTGATATTCTTATATTCCCATAATTTACTTTAATTTAAGTGGTCAGTATGAATTTTATCTTGACGTACTACTGTTTCGACTACTTTTACATGGCAGTTTAAGTAGTGCTTTGGTTATATATATACACTTGCCACACTGCTGCCTTTTTCTCTCTCTCTTTTCTCCTTTTCAGAATACCATTCACGGTGGGAAAACCTTGGCGACTCTAGGGAACATGGACCCTATGTACATGACTGTCTAGATCACAGCTCGTATCAAGCGCGTTCCATTTGACATCTCCCAACAAATTCACTATTGGTCTCGGCAAATCGCCAAAACAACCTATTGTGCACCTTATTTGTACTCTACTATTGAAAATGTGACCGTATTATACTGTTTCTGTCAGTGACATGGTGTAAATATGCTATCAGAAACTGACTCTTATATTTAATTTA